TTAGCCTCATTTGATGCAAGAAAACTCGTTAACAGACGGACAAGAGGAATTCAATAGCTCTCATGCTACACAGGGCGAGCTAAGAATCATATAATTTACTAACTAAATAATTAAATCGGCATCATTTTTTGCAAAATAGGTCAAAAGTTAATCATTTTACTAATATCTATATTTGATATTTTACAAGATTATAAAAATATACAACGGCTAAATATGCATGCATATTTGAAATCGTGCAAATTAAAGAAAGTAAATATTATAATTTTCAATAAAAATTTGAAAAAATAAGCACGATTTCCAAAAAAAATTTCAAACAAAAATATTTATTAATCGAATTGCACCACTCAAAAGTCAGAATTAAAATTATTTGAGAAAATGAAATATCTAGTTTTATTTAGATGACATTATCTTCTAGGACAAAGAAATGCGCAGTTGTTTCTCAAATTAATTTCCACGTTGTTACGTAATAAGAAAAATTTGAAACAAAAATATGCGTACAAATTTGAAATCGTGGTAACTAATAAGATAATCCATGTTAAAAGCAAGTTCGCCAACAGTAATGATGAGGAAAAGGGAGAAAAAAATTACTGGAAAATTGAACTTTGACCCCAATATTTTTCATCAAAGAGGCCATTCAACAGAACGATAGGCGCCATGTGAGTCCTAATTTTTGGGTTGATTGTTTAATATAATTCGCTAGTTAATCCCGAAAAAAGGTTTCATTATTAGTTTCAAAATTAATTTCCACGTTATATATATCCATTGTGAGTAGAAATTTCAAATCCGTTTTAGCAATGTATTGAAAAATTAGAGACGATTTAGCAACTAAATAATCAAATTTTCACTATTTTTCGTAAAACAGCTCATCATTACTTGCATAAAAACAGTATAGCAAGATTTTCAAAAAAATGTAATGACCAAATATCAAAACATCACAATAACACAACTAGTGTCAAATCATGTCAATTACATATAAGCCAGGACAAAATGTTCAAAAAATTAACTAAAGAAGATTAATATTCAAATTTGCAATAAAGATTAAAAAAGGAAGCACCATTTCTGAAAAAAACTTGTCAAAAACAAAATACGGCTACAGAGAATTACTACACTTGAAAGTCAAAACTTAATTTTTTAAGAAAATTAATTGTAAAATTATATTTAGATATCGATAAATTTCAAATCAATTGAAGTTTGTTTTTACTTCTTGAATGAATTTCCACCTTGTTAAAATAAATATTATGAAAAATATGAAATCCTATTAAAGACGAAATTATCGAATTATAATTTAAATAATCAAATAGTCACCGCTTCTTGTATTAGTTCATAGTTCGTCTTAATTTCAAATTTCAAAGTTCAAATTTTATTATGGACTATCTTTAATTGACACCGTCAAAAATTTGTATGCATATTTGGTCATTATATATTCTCATAATATTATAAACGTTTTTTTTATACGAGAAATGATTTGATTGAAATTTCGAATTATGTAGTCCATGTCAATATAACCAACGTTTCTTGAGTTTGTGCGATGGTCGGATTTTGTCAAAATATTTGAAGTCAAAGCTGAAAAATGGGCGATTTTTACCAGGCGGAGGAAGCAAACTCAACTTCTCATTCTCTTCCCGTACTAAAAATTGCACATTTTTAAACTTTGAGCTCAAATATTTTGGAAAATTGTGTCCATCGCACAAACTGCCTGAAGAAACGTTGATTGTATTGACATGGACAATTAATTTCGAAATTTAAACCAAATCGGAGGGTTACACTTCACACCATCGCATTGTCAGTCATCCCGATTTCCCACTGAAGACTTTCATTTGCATTCAGTCAGTTTCGATCAAATTCATTTCATTTCAATTCATCGGACTTCATTTCTTACTTCGGCCCATGTATTAGGCATAGAATGAAAAATTATTGAATGGTAATTCTTGTTAATACCAGTGCCGGTAGAGTCACATAGAGAACTCCGGTTGGTAATGATTTAATAACAGTTTTCTAGGAGTGTAGTTTTTCTTCAAAATTGGAGAGCATCCGTTGGGAGACTTCCATTGTCGGTTGAATTCAATCAAAAATTATACACTCTAAATAAATTTGATTAAAATTTACTCAATTTTGAGTAAAATTGCCACCAAAGCAACTATTGAGTAAAATTTACCCTGAGAAAGGTAAAATTTACTCAAGGTTGAAAGATTTTTGCTCAACCTTGAGTAAATTTTACCTTTGTCAGAGTAAATTTTACTCAATAGTTGCTTTAGTGGCAATTTTACTCAACTTTATTTACAGTGTACAAATATTTGTAAAAATTTGAAACATTCAAGTAGCCAAAATTATTTTACATTTTGTAATCTGGTCAAATAAATTTTAATTTAACGTGTGTTTAATATTCTCAAGTCGAAATAATGTTTTAACTATAAAAATAGTTATAAGATGTACAATTAGATTTGTGGGTTTTCAAACTTTAATAAGTTGCAAACTCCAAAATTTTGAATTAATTTCAACTTGTTGAAATATTTTTCAAAATTCTCAATTTCCGAGGTTTACGAAACCTGTTGTGAGTGAGCACGCCTAATATGAAGGTTTAGATGTCCCAACCCTAAACCAAATTTTCTGAAAAATTTCTGAGGTTATCCCGACTTTCGTAACGGCGTGCGGTCGATTTGCATAATTTATTTTGCATAACACCTATATCGCATAAAGGGAATTTGTCTAATTTAAAATTATGCAAAACAACAATATCGCATAATTGGTACTTGTATGATATTAGTTTTCATTCGTTTCGCACAATACCTAGGTACCAAAGTTTTATAGGATAGTCGTAAATTTACGGCATTTAAAAAAGATGACCTGGAAAAAACCTTCACAAAAAATATTTCGTAAAAATTGTTCTGAAGTTTTCCTTCCCCAATATCATCGGTTACTGTGGTTTTCGAATTATCATAATTTTTGTATTTATTCGAATTCTTTTTCACGAATGAAAAATATGCCTCAACAACCTTGCGTAGATTTTCGAAGCTTATCATGCGATGACGCCAGCGGTCTCGGTCCGATTTTGACGAAACCATGATATTCTTTAGCCTTAGATAAATACCAATAATTGGTGATTAAACACGTGTTTCAGGATTTTTCATAATGCTTAATTTAAACTAAGTTAAATGATGGAAAACATGAGAAAATTTGTATTTTTCTCCCTTGCGAGAAATATTTCAGGGTGAAATTTTTAAATTGCAAAAATCTTATTTTAAAATCGAAATATAATTTTACAAAATAATTACTAGGGACGCAAACCGTCTTCAACCTAGATTACTTATTTACCAAACACTTCAGAAACAAAATTAAATACTTCGCTAGCGCAATGGCGAAAAATTCTGCAAGTTTTAGGCGCTTCTGCTGGGAAACCGAGCATTTTGCGATCCTGCGGCGTTCAAAATATTTCGCATCTGCGCAATGACGTTTCTAAAGCGTTGGTCTTTTAAACTAAAATTTTCAAAAAATAATCTTTACCACGGACTGAAATTCTAAATTTTATATCCACAAATTTCCAGGATATCAAAAATTATATAAAAATATCAATCTTTCCGAAATATAAATAACTCACATTTTTACGCTCAATTCCCAAATATTTCTAATTTACAAAATTTTGGAATGACTATGTGAATAGCTCTAAATCTCGGATTGGCAGACTTAAAAGTCGAAATAGTTAAATGTGCGAAAACATTTATCATTAATTAATTATTAGATACATTTATCATTAATTAATTATTAGATAAACTATTTTTGGAGTTTTTTTTTCGAAAGTTCATAATAATTTGAATTCAAATAAACACTGTCTAAAAATTTACTTGATTACAACCTAATTTTTAAAAAATCGTTCCAAAATCAGATCAAATAAACCGTTGTAGGGGTAGAAGAAGCTCGCCCTGTTATACTTAAGTGGGTGGAATCGGTACACAATTTTGACATAATCATGGCTCAAATTTTTATAGACTTGTGTATAAAAATGGATATTAGGAAATAAATTCTAGAAATGCATCATTTAATTTAAATTTTTGTAGCTATGGTCCGGCAAATCAGACATAGAAACAATAGAAAACTCTGTGAATTAGAAAACATCCGTATTTTTAATAATGCAGAATTATTAAAAATTCTTGGTCGCTGTTTTTTTGAATTGCATACCCAATTATTTACTCGAGAAGAAGAGCAACTTATCAAGAGGGAGAGCAACTTATCAAGAGGGAGAGCAAGTTATCAAGAGGGAGAGCAATTTATCAAGAGGGAGAGCAACTTATCCAGAGGGAGAGCAACTTATCCACAGGGAGAGCAACTTATCCAGAGGAGAGCTTATCAAGTCGGAGAGATACATCAGGCGGTGTAACGAATCGGGTGGTGTGACGTATCGACGGCTGTGACTTATCGAGCGGTGTGAGAGGTACGTAACTGTTAGTGTCATAATGCCTCGCAAAAAAATTAGTGCAAAAGAAAGAATGCGGAGAAAAAGAGAACACGAAGAGTTCCGGAGAACAGAAGCCGCGAAAAATGCAGTTGCGCAAAAATTACAAAGGATGGATGAAAACCTAAGACAGCAAGAGCAACAAAGAGATGCAGCGGGACGAGCCGAGCGCAGAAAGGATTCCATCTACCGTGAAGCGGAAAAAGAGCGGGACAGGATTGACCACTCTACCCGTCAAGCGGACGAGGCTTATCGCGATGCGCAAAATGAGCGGAATAGGATGGAACATGTTACCCGCCGAGGAAACGAGGATTATCGCGACGCGGAAAATGAGCGGAATCGGATGGAACATGCTACCCGCCGAGAAGACGAAACTTTCAAATAGGCCGAACAGCAGCAAAACACAATTAAAAAAGCAATTTCACGTCATAAGGCTCAGACCAATTTTGATATTTTGTGTAAATCTTTCCATTGTGAGATACTTGATCAACCTAAATGGATATGTGGTTCGTGTGGAGGTCTTTGGTATCGATCATCTATGCATCCGACAACAATGGAAGTCGTGAGGGAACTTCATCCCAAGAAACCTTTCGCCCATCTAAAAGTGGATGGCAAGTACTTCTTATGTGGCACATGTCACGATTCGCTGAAGAGTGGTGACGTGCCCAGGTTGTGTATGTCAAACGGACTGTATTTTCCTCCCATTCCACATCAATTACAGAGCATGACTAGCTTAGAGGAACGTTTGGTTGCATTGAGGCTACCGTTTGCTCAGATTAGATCGTTAGGGAGCGACCGTCAGTACGGAATCCGAGGGGGAGTAGTAAACGTTCCAAACGACATGGACATAGTCGCCAAAGTTATTCCCCGCCGATTTGATGAGACGAGTACAGTTCAGGTTCAATTGAAGCGCCGCATGACTTATAAACATCCATACATGTTCCAAACAATTCGACCATACAAAGTTTTCCATGCAGCAAATTATTTAGTACGTACCGAATTGTATAAAAAGGAAAAGGTATTTCTATCCTCAGACTGGGCTAATAGTGTTTCAACAGACACAGTAGAATATATAGTAAACCCAAGCGATGCTACTCAAAGTTATACAGACATAGAAAATATTAAAGACTTATCTATCAGTGACAAAGCCGAAACTGAAGACAATGATCCACCGTTAACGGAAACTCTAATGCAAGAAGATCAACTAATCATGGCAGTGGGACCTGGGGAAGGAATGCGCCCGTTGTCTTTACTTATGGATCTCGACGCCGAAGAGTTATCTTTTCCATCCATTTACTGCGGCATCAAACGAAAACTGAATCCAGAAGCTAACTTGTCATATAGTGATATTGCAAAGTCCGAACTACGCAGATTTGATCCACGCTGCAGACGAGCAGACAAGATCTTATATAGCTACCGTCTCGTTCAAACTCATAGGATCGCTAGTAACATAAACATATGTCTTCGAAAAAAGAAAAAGCGTGGGATCGTGAGTGTTGGAAACCTACTTAACAAGCAATGTGTCCAGAGCTTAATTCAACACGATGACGGGTATCGGCTTTTGTCAAACATTGTCAACTCACCGTCATATTTGGAAGAGAAGAAGAAGGACGTAATGGCCATGATTCGTCAACTTGGACTCCCAACATTTTTCATTACAACATCAGCTGCAGAGACGAAATGGCCCGAGTTGATCTCCATGCTCCATAATAGGAAGTATGGGACCGTGTTAACTAATGAAGAAGTTTCTAATATGAAGTTCGATGCTAAAACGGATCTCATAAGACATGACCCGATAGGATGTGTAATGGCTTACGACAGACGGGAGAAGGCAATGGACAGATTTTTGATCAAGCCAGTGGGTGGAATCTTTCATCCTTATGTACACCAGGACTTCTTTAAAAGGAAAGAAGTTCAACAACGCGGGTCAATTCACACACATAGAATGGATTGGATTAAGGATGCTCCGACGTTTGACAAAGAAAATTCGCTAACTCACCAAGCTTGTTGTGAATTCATAGATGAATTCATAACCTGCAAGAAAGATGAATCCGATGACATGAAGGAAGTCCTGGCATACCAAATCCACAACCATTCACATACTTGCGAAGACAAACGTCGAGGATGTAGGTTCGGTTTTCCAATTGCACCTATGAGGACGACAAGAATACTACTTCCGTTACCTGCGAACCAAGTGAAGCAATATAAAGAACAATTTGCCAAGATTAAAGAAAAGCTTGCCACATTTGGGCGACATGCAGAAGAAATTAACTTTGATAGGTTTCTTGAAGATCTGGATCTTACTGAAGAAAATTATATTTTCTCAATTCGTACCAACCTCAAAATTCCCAAAGTTTTTCTTCGACGTGGAACCCATGAAATTTACATAAATGCATATAATAAGAAGCTTCTTTTATGCTGGCGAGCAAACATTGACATTCAATTTGTTTTGGATCCCTATTCTTGTGCCAGTTATGTTGTGAATTACATAAGCAAGTCAGATCGAGGCGTATCGAAACTTTTACGACAGGTTAGCAAGGAAATTAGGGACGGTAATTTTAGTTTGAAAGAACGCTTAAGCTCATTTGCCAATGCTTTTGCGAAATCCTCAGAGGTATCGGCTCAAGAGGCCGCTTGCTGTTTATTAAAAATTCCTATGACACAAAGTTCGCGTGACGTAACATTTATCAATACGAGTAGACCTGACGACAGGGTAATTTTCGTTAAGCCTGCCGACGAACTTGAGAAAATGGATCCAGATTCATGCGACATAGCTCTCAAAGGAATTTTAGAACGTTATGTAGTGAGGCCAAGGGCATTGGATAATCTTTGTTTAGCTGATTACGTTGCAAACTATAACTTTACCAAAGGATCCTCTTCTCTGCGGAAGCAAATTAATCAACCGATCACCTCATTAAGTCTGATTGACAATAGTGGGTACATAACTGAGAGAACAACTTCTCGAATTATCCGATATCGCAGATTCGGTCTCCATCAAGATCCTGAGAATTTTTATAGAGAACAAATTATGCTGTATGTACCATGGCGGGATGAAAACACAGATCTTCTTGATATTGATCATGTTTCAGTTTATCAAAACTTCTTAGATCAAATTACACAAAAACGACAAATATATGATCCATGTTTTCTTGAAACTGAGCTAGAGGTAGGACTCAGTATGGCACAGAGAGATGAGGAAACTTTTGACAATGCTTGGGTCGACCATACTCCAATCGAGTTCATTGCCGAAGACCAAGATTTTGCTGTTGAGTTAGGGGACTCAACTTCAAAGTTTATGTCTATTCGACCTCCTAAGTTGATACCAACAGACGATTACCTCAAGTTAATGAAGACTTTGAACGAATCTCAAAGAAGATATGTATTGAACCTTTTGCATAATTTGAAAGCAAGATCGGGACAAAATTTCCACGTAATTCATGGGCAGGCCGGTGTAGGAAAGAGTAGATTAATTACTGCAATAGTTCAGTGCATATTAAGGATGTCGGACAAGGAACCTGGATTAAGTGGTGAAGCAATTCCTGTGCTAGTAGCAGCAGCAACAGGGAAAGCTGCATTTAACGTTTTTGGTATGACATTGCACTCGGCATTTAGACTCCCACCCAATCAATACGCAGGAAAAATGACTCCACTGGATCATGGTTCATGCAATATCTTGCGATGTTTGAGGCTTTAAAAGTTTTGATAATCGATGAGATTTCGTTAGTTAGCTTGAAAATGTTCACCCAAATTGATCAAAGATTGAGACAAATTTTAGGCGTCGATGAATTATTCGGAGGGGTTAGCCTCTTGGTCGTAGGTGATTTCTATCAGCTTAGTCCGGTGTTTGGACAATTTGTTTTCGAGGATAGCAAAGAAATTTTAGGCCCGATCATTGGAAATCCACTCTGGAATAGATTTAGACTATTTGAGCTTAAGGAAATCATGAGGCAAAAAGATGACGCCAAGTTTGCAACTGCACTAAATAGACTGTCCATGGGAATGCTTGAAGAAGAAGATATCCAAATGTTCAAGAGTAGAGAAATTGGAAAAAACTTAATTGTTCCAGATGATGCAACATGGTTGTTTTACAGCAACACAGATTGCGATAAATTTAATCGCGAAGCGATAAATCGAGCAAAGGGGCCATTGTACAATTCATATGCCATAGATAGAGTGCAGGGTGGAAAGATTCTAGCCTCCCAACAAGCTCCCAACAATGTTGGAGTCCGCCGAATATTTAAGTTTGCAGCAAACCGGAGGAATGGCATACCACGTAGCTTTGAGAGTCGGCCTTCGTTATATGATTACAACAAATATTGACGTATCTGATGGATTGTTTAATGGTGCTACAGGAAAATTAATGAGGGTAATTGAAAAGCCATTTACTAACGGGCAGAAAGCTGTTAAGATTGTATTTATGGAATTCTCGGAGAAATTGGTAGGACAACTGGCAAGGGCAAATAACTTAGGATTACTCAAACAATTAGAAATTCCGCTGCATTGGACCCCGATCTTCTCGGAAACCAAGGCATTAAATAGTTTTGGGCACTATCAAGGAATGCAAATTGTTCGCCGTCAAATTCCCCTGGTTGCTGCTAATGCTATTTCCATCCATAAATCACAGAGTCTGTCTATCCCAAACACAGTTGCCAATATTCCAACTCGAGGATTGAGAAGGGATGCGATATATGTAGCTATGAGTCGGGCACCTTCGTTATCAGGATTATTTATTGGCGGTACTTTCAATGCTCCACGTGCAATCGATACTTTAAGCATCCTGTAGCATTAGAGCTTTCCAGGTTGCGAAAATTATCATTCCCATATTAACTCAGCTATTTACCAGACCTAGATGATCCCAATAAACTCGTATTCCACAACATTCAGTCTTTCCGAGCACACTATGACGATATTGTTGCTGATAGAAACTACATGGAAGCTGATATGCAATGCTTTTGTGAAACTCGGACATTGATTTCAGATATGGTAGAACTGCCTGGATTTACACTTTTGCATCGAATAGATTCACCGTCTATGCAGTCATCTATTGGAACACTGGTGTTTAGAAGTGACTCATTCTCTGCGAGCATATCAGATTTTCAATACTCACATCGAAATTTAAGTGTCACTAAACATTTGCAAATAGTTCGATGGATTCAAAACGGTGTAAGAATTTGCATGTTATACCGTAGTCCTCAATATAGGACGAGTTTTCTACAGGACATCAGAAATCTTTTAACTAGCACAAAAGGCTCTCCAATGATTGTTTTCGGCGACTTCAACCTGAATTTTCTAACCCAAGATGGATTTCAAATGAGGCAGATTTTTTCTTCAATGGGTTTCAGATTAATAACTCCTTTAGAAAGTAGTACGGATGGGAATACATCGATAGATGCATGTCTTTCTAATGTGAATGGCGTTTCAGCTTGGTTCTACGAAAGCTATTTTAGCTATCATAAACCAATTTGTGTGACTTGGCCAAATGATGTAGATATATTGCCTTCACATGTGGAATTAGAAGATTGCCACACCGAATTAATGGAGGTAGATGTAAGCGAAAATGACATAGGCGACGAACCCGAGGAGTCGGAAATGGACATAGAGAACGAAGCTTTATCTGTAGACATTGTAATTTCCGAACCAACCCCTTCAATTCATCTCGGAATTCCAAATTTAGGAAATACATGCTACATTAGCACAATTCTTCACGTAATCTATGAATCTCCTTCCATTCAAGCATTTCTGAAATGTAGTGAAGATCGTCTATCTCGTTGTCTAATAGGATTCTTTCACGCATTAGTCACCCCAGTTTCACTTAGCCACCTTAGAAGCACCAGGCTGGAGTTAGTTGAATGCATGCCATCATACTCAGGAGTAGAAGGTCACTACTTGTCGGGCCCCGATTTCGATCTCCTTTGGATATGTTGTAGTACTACATGAGTGTAGAAAAAGTGAAGGAGGGTTAGACTCCATGAGCCCATTTACGCCCGCCACACCCCCTCAAAGGCGCCCAAACCCCCAGAGTTGCCGCATTAAAATCATCGCCAAAAATCGAGTTTTGGTCAGATTTTCAAGAAATTTACATTTTTGTGATCCCAGATAGTTGCTCTATCATATCCAATAGCAAACTCAATTTTTTTGAAATTTCGAATTTTTTCAATACATACCCTTGGTCAGAAAATCTTCGAAAATATTGAAAATTTCAAAAAAGTTGAGTTTGCTATTGGATATGATAGAGCAACTATCTGGGATCACAAAAATGTAAATTTCTTGAAAATCTGACCAAAACTCGATTTTTGGCGATGATTTTAGTGCGGCAACTCTGGAGGTTTGGGCGCCTTTGAGGGGGTGTGGCGGGCGTAAATGGGCTCATGGAGTCTAACCCTCCTTCACTTTTTCTACACTCATGTAGTACTACAACATATCCAAAGGAGATCGAAATCGGGGCCCGACAAGTAGTGACCTTCTACTCCTCAATTGGAATGCAAGATGACCCCCATCTATTTCTCCTTGACCTCCTGCAGAACTTACGCAACTCTGGTTTATCTCTAGAGGAATATATTTCCACTATAGAAACTGAGGTTACGTGCACTTGTAAAAGTAAAGGAACGAGAAATGAATCGTGTACTTCCCTATCCATCGGAAGGTCAACGCAAAATTTACAAGAGTGCGTTAATAATCATTTCACCGGGCAGCAGGAATATCTCTGTGAGAACTGTAAGTTCTCAGGATTGGTTAATTTCAAATCTAACCTGATATTGGCGCCAAGAACGTTAGTGGTTAATCTGAAAATTTTTACAAATCAAGGTACAAAAATTACGGAGAAGTCGTATGCATCAGATGTTCTTACGTTACCTGGCTCGGATAATGTATACGCTTTGACACTTATAGTTAGTCATTTGGGCAATTCCTTAAACTCAGGACATTATGTTGTTAATTATAGACGTGAAAATGATTGGATAATCTATCATGATAACAATGTTTATGTTTCGACGGACTGCGTTGGCGATAGCTATATTTTCTTATACAAATCTACATAATTCCACCTTCAAAACTATCTAACCTCTCGTAAAGTCACCATTGTCATAACACGTAGTTAATATGCATCTCTTATAAACCTTGATTCATACAGTGCATACAATCATCAAGCTGTCCTGATAATGTTGAAATACACATTACCAGGGCACATGGCTCATACAATGATACTAACCAAAACTAGCTTCACGAAAGGTCACAAAAATGGTAAACAAAACTTGATTCATACATGGCATTCTACCATCATCACGCTGCCCTGATAATGTTGGAATACACATTACCAGAACTAGCTCATAAAAATATGCATCATTATCATAATCACTGAAAACGACAATAAAATTATTTGCATTACCTCTCCCTGTATGCCACTACCAGCCCTTATATAATTTTAGGGTCATATATGTATTTAATCTAAGTTTATTCAATTTTCAGATCTTTATCTTTTTGGTTCAATCGGAATATCCAAGTTATTTGATTGGTTCACTAATTGATTTTTTCAGATTCAAACGATACATCAAGGTTCAAAGTTACCCAAGTTCGTTTAAAAAAGGTAGGTGTATTTTATTGCATTTTTGCAATGAAGTCATCGAGATTAGGGTGTCCCAAGTCATTAATAGTGTCTCATTTGAGTGCACTCCTGGTCGGAGTTAAGTACAAGGAAATTATTTCCCAAATGAGATACTGACTGGGACAGGTAGTGGCATCTAATGGCGAGTAGTAAGGGGGTTCATAAATAGAAATAAAATTATCATTTCAAATGGTCTGGTAATGTTGACATTACCAGGGCCCAGATGCGATGTAAGATGTCATGGGTTCATAAATAGAAATCGCACTGGGTCGTAACCTGGCTGGTTACCTGATGAACGGGAGTAGCGACCTGTCTTGGGCTTATAGAGAGCCGAAACCCAGTTGGTGTTGTGTAAAACCATGCAAGTAATTTGAAGTGAAAAGTACGTTTGACGATCACCAATGGTACAGAAAAATCGGATAAAATAGAACCATGCTATTCATATATAATTGCACTAATGGTACAGAAGAAATGGGGCAAACTGTAGTAACGTTAGAAGTAGCTCACCCTGTAATAATGATTTGGTTGTAACTTGCCCCAAAGGTGCACAAAAATGCAACAAAATAGACACATTAGTTTTTGGCAATTATGCACCAATGGTGCAGAAAAATCCAACAAAGTAGAGCAATAATGTTTATGCAACATTGCACCAATGGTGCAGAAATATTAAACAACATAGATCAATAATTATTATGCATCGAGGAAAGTCCAAAAATTGTGCATCACTGGTGCAGAATTACCTACCAACGATCACCGATAATTTTGAAAAATTTATGTCAGAATTGTCAAATAAAATCCGCCGAGTAGTATGCACTATTCGTGCGTTATGCATCAAAGCCCCCAATTCTTTCGCATCATTTGGTGTTTCCGATTGTCAGATACCAGCGGTGCTATTAATTTATGAAAAAATGGACCTGATCCATTCTAGTGAGTATCAATTGATGCTCATCCAATTGTTTTGCATCAGCTTGGATAGCCAACTGTTCAATACGAACGGTGCTACTTATTCCAAAATTGTAGTGCTTTCTCAATCCATTTGCACAATTAATTCGCACCATTTGCGCCACGGATTGTTCGATACCAATGGTGCGCCTAATTTATTCTATAATGGTCAAGGGGATTATTAATTAGCATCAATTGATGCAAAAAACTCGTGAACACACAGACAGACGGACGGACGGACAAGAGGAATTCAATAGCTCTCGTGCTACGCAGGGCGAGCTAATAAAGTATTTTTAAAATCACGAATTTGTGAAGTTTCATCCATTAATGCATTTTTGACGTGAGTTATGCATATGCAAAAATTAATGATGTTTTTTTGAAAGACTTTGAACTCGAAAAACATTTAGTGACTAAATTACATCGATCGATCACAAATTTAATTAGTATGCAATTTGCAAATGGCACTATCTGCTAAAGTTTGGCGGAGATATTTGCATAAAAAGAGAAAATGAAGGTTGGTAAATATTTCATTTTCCAAATTTACTGTGCATTTTTCCCCCTTTGGATGAAAATATCTCAGCCAAACCTGCGAATTGGCAGATAGTGCCATGTGCAAATTTCATCCTAATTATATTTTTGATAACTGTTTTTATGAAGATCATGAACTATTATGCAAAAAAATATGACGAATTAATTATGTAGTTAATAAATATGATGATTAATTTCGTCTGCAATTGTTTAATAGGATTACAAATTTTATTTGTCGTAATGGTTATATCATAAACGCGGAAATTAACTAAAACAAAAGCAGGGTCTAAATTAATTTCAGGAATTATTTTTCCCTAAAAATTTACTTTTGACGTTTGACTAATTCGATTAAGAAATAATTTTGTTCGTGGAATTTTTCATAAATGGTGCTTAATTATTGTTTTGATTTTGCTGGAAAATTTTAGCCTGGATTTTATTTAATTGGCACAATTTGAAACATGTATGCATGTTTGGTAATTGTCTATTTTGATAATCTTGCAAAACTATTTTATTATTCGAGTAACATGATAAACTTTTTGAACTATTTTGCAAAAGAATCGTGACGATTTAATAATTTAGGTGGTAAATATGATGTAAAGATGATCAAAATGGTTGTTTAATATGATCTAAAATTTTATTTTTTGTAGTGGTTATACGAATACCGAGGAAATTAAATGATGAAATAATGAAAATGGTGTTTCAGTCACATACGG